AATCAATTATATTAAACGACAGATTAGGTTACCAATGCACTAACGAAATAGCAAAAAAGTGACAGTGCTGGCTTTAGAACATTGAAGAAGACTGATCTGACCAAATGTAAATGTTTGTATGTGTTCTTAGTCACTCTAAAAGCATTTTATGAAGAAAAGAAACAAATATATACTTTTAAGGTGCAATTCACTTAGCAAGTGCTTGCCTAAAGCTGAGCTATTTTTCTGTGTTGTCTACTACAGAAAGTTAAAGGACTAGCTCCAATACAGATATCTACATTCCAAACCTCAAAATCTGGGCAAGATGAGAGACTGTGCAAATGATGGAGACTAAAATGCTACAAATTTATTCTTTCTGGCTAAATCCTCTCCATTATCACAATGCCGTTGCACACAGATAATACACAAAGAGGCTAGCTCTTGTTGTCCAATTTTTCAATAACTCTAATGCTGAAAGACTGGAGATTCAAGCTTGTATTGCCCATTTCAATGCACATATACTAAAAGATGCATTGCCCAAGCACTCACAAAACAGAACGAGAAAAAAATATGTATCATCCCCCTCCCAATAACGGATATGGTTAATCCAAAGTTTTTTCCTTTGCAATTATAAAAGAATAATTACAAGTGTAGAAAAAGATTAGGTTTACACGACGAAAGCAAAGAGATCCCAATCCTGACTTCAAATTTAAAATGTCTCTTTTGAAAAGCACACAAAGGATAGACAGTCAAGAGGAGATCACACAGTTAATTATTCGGAAAAAATAATTTCACAGTCTTTCAATTTTTCATTTTGAAAATGTGATCAGCTCTCAAGGAAATACAGAAAACACATGTATTGGGGAAATGAAGGAAAAAGGTAGACCAACTTACTGCCTAAACCACCAGCACTGCACAAACTGCCAATAGAAAAATAAACGTATTTACTTTCCACTCTATTATCAGTTGCTTTTCCCATGAAAAAATCTCAATGCTTTATAGTCATAAAAATTTCATGAAGAGTAACTGTAACAAAAAAAATAAATTAGTAGACCATCAGCCAGGAAAATCATGGTCTATTAAGATAAACTTACTCTGTGGATATCTAGATAGCTTTTCTCTGTATGTCCATTTAAGTGAATTGTTTGCACTGCACAGGTTCTTAGTCTTCTAAAAAGACACAACGAAAATAAAATATAACATTGTCACAGCATAATGGTCCCTCCTGCCTGACAGACATTAGGAGAGAAAAAAATTACTGAAAAATGAACATTAAGATTACATTACCAAGCTTATTTTCAGAGTGGGAGGCAAATTAGACTATGAAAATGTTCTCTTCCATTATTTCTATTATACCAGAGGAAGATAAAGTAAATAAATATGAAGATGGATGGTTATTGTTGATGCACAGTGACAGCCTCTCAGTATGTTACATTGAAGAACTATGTACTATCAGCCCAGATTTTATACAGTGACAGGCAAATTTGTAACAATCAGGTAGTCTAAAAATGTTTCAAGTTGTTTGGGTCTTTTTTTTTTTTTAATTGAAGAAGTTGCGGTGAAACTAAAATAAACTTCATCTGTTGTTTAATAAACAAACTATTTATTAGTTTTACAAGACCCAGGTTGATAAACTACACCGAAAGATTTTCAGAAGTGCTCTTTATACTTGTGTCCCTGACACTATAGACACTCAAGCTGAAGTACTACCACTTTCCCTCATCTTTAGAAGTACAGAAGACGCTAATTTCAGAGGGTATGCTTTTGACCTGACCTCTTCTGAGGTCAATATATAACACTGATAAAAATTTACCACTAAACCTTATGATAGCACATTTTGTAAGTGCTCAACTCCAATGCACAAACTTTAAAGAAGACGGCAGTGTAGCCTAATGTCCAAATATTAACTATTCCGACCACTCTGCAAATCTCATTTAGGTATCTGATGAAGGAATTCCCTTGAAAATCTGATCTTATGTGCAATCAGGATCTCCCTCCTCAGAGATAGTCAAAAGGCGCCTGGACATGGCCCAGCTTGAGCATGAGCTTGAGGGGAGGTTGGACCAGGTGACCTCCAGAGACGCCTTCCAACCTCAACCATTCTGCAATTCGGTGAATTGCAATGTAGCGATGACCCTGTACTTCTTCAGTCCTACAGGGTATCTTTTGTTACCATGGCCCTGTATTTTAACTCCTACAAAGAGAACAGTACAGACGTAGCTTTCAACTTGCTCACCTAACTTGTGCCTGAACTTTAAGGGCCTAATTAATCAGCCCTTCTAAAGAGAATCTAGGTTCTCTATGCACTTAACAGGGAGAAGCCTTTGTCTCAGAAGACCAAGACAAATGCTGCCTTCTTGAGTTAGGTAGTGAATCATTACTGAGTGACTATTTTTGCTGTCAGTTCTGCATTCACCCTCCAGTATCAGAATTCTGTCCTATCCAGAGGAACAGGCAGAACAAATCCCAGAGGTTCTCTGGATCTTGGGAACTTTCTGAAGTGTTTTAGGTTACTTGCAGTAATAGAGCACACGTAGAAACATTCACCTTACTCTCAGCAAGCTCACAGTCCTACCAGATGTGAGTATACCTAGAAAATACTAAATAGGAGACATGTCAAGCAAAATTAAAACACAAAAAAGCATTGTACCGAATTCTATATTGCTAGTATTTAGAATGGAAGCTTAGTAGAAATGAGTCAATCTTGAGTACTGAAATTATACAAAGTCTACATTTAGCAAACTATTTTCACACTTGCAGCGCACAATTCTGTCAGTCAATGCAGCAGAACTCAGTAAAACACTCCTGCTTAACAGGATGTCATTTATCCACAAATATATTTCACAAAACGGATTTTCAACTACTGCAAATTGATTTTTGTTTCATTCCTTCCACATGTCATTGTGCCACAGAGGATAACTCCTTTCATATTAATAGTAATGAAGATGCATTGCATGTGACAGCCCTAACAACACGTTTAATAGAACATTTTAACTTTAAGTAGATGATGAATCAGAAGGGAACACTTTTTCAGATTTCAATGTTTCAGAACACAGTTCTGTATAAATTACATTATCCTACTTAAAAGTTATTTCCACTTTGATACTATCTCTATTTAATTTGACAGTTTCATTTTGGAAAGATAACATTTTGACATACTGCAAATTATTCTCCCAAAACAATACAGTTTATCCTTTTGTATCTGCTTTAATCAAATTTGTCTCAATAGCCTCCTGTTTCTGGTCAGTAATTCTGGCAATTAATCATCCTAACTTACCCTAAAATGACAATCCTAAGGTGTCACTCACAAAGAGAAACAATACAAAACATACTGTTTCAAGCTGCTACTGCACAACACAGCAAGAGATTTATTCAGGCTGTATTTCAAATATTTTGTTATCAGAAACCGCTGCTTCTGCAGAACAGCAGTTTCACCAGTGATGTGGGTCAGACCGTATTTCTTTCTTGCAATTTGAGTTTGCACTTAGGCGATTCTCAAAGTATGCTCACCCTCACCTAACTCAAACGCTGCTATCATGTTCTACACAGAAACTCCATTCATTGAGTTTCATCTTCACTCCAGCTCTCCCCCATGCAATTTGTTTGCACAAGGAAAACACCTACTTATCTATGAGTTATATCTTATTTACAATCGCATGTGCAGCGAATGCTTTGGAAAACTGCGTATGCTGCAATTTTAAAGCAAATTGAAGTGTAACTACAAGTTCAACCCTTTTGTTTAAGGAAGCAATATATGCAGGGTTACTGCAGCTTGACAAATACATTAATACTGAAAAAACAATAACCTAGTTAAAATTGAAACAAAAATGACCCTTAACTGCATGCAGTGCTGTCATTGCCCTTCCTTTTCCCAGTTACTCTTTCGATTATGAAAGTTCTAACACAACATTCCCCTTTTTTAGCACAAACAGGGCAACAATCAGCGTCTTACAGATTCTTAGCTTCCAGACCAACTACAGTTGTGCAAGGTGATTTCTAAACACCAGCTTTGTAACAACACTCTTAAAAAGAAAGCACAGTATACAGTAAGAAATAATGTTAAGATGTTACTCCCACTGACCTGTAACTACCACCTCACTTGAACAACACAACAGAGTGAAAAATGAACTTCAGGAATGTACAGCTTGACAAATTCCGTTTTACATTTAAAGTCATTAGCAACAGAACAAGCTTTTAAGACCAATATTAACACAAACCTTGCTTGCAAGCAAGAGCCATAAAACAGATAAGAAAGGTGAAACACTGCAACAAACTCCTGACATCTGAAATCTATTTCAAACAGCTAATAATCCAGTCTATTCTTCAAAATTTATGTTGACATTTACTATTGCTCACCACATTTACCTCCTGCTTGTAAGACTAGCAACATACACATGACATATGAACAGCTCTTGGGTCCAGCCCTGAAGCCCTGTGCCGTTTTCAAATGCCACTGAAACACGTGCTTAGATGGAAGCTATTGTCAGACTACAGAGTTAAGCACTCTGCAATTACGTTTAGAATTCCGCGTTGGGTGGGCTGCGGTGTGTGTGAAAACACTATCGCTCTTACCCCCCTTTTCTTTACCAGTTACTTAGCAACTAGTGGTCTTTTATTTCTTTTTGGGAGACTATTTTCCATATATAGTAAGGGAAACAGAATTCAGAGGTGCCCACCAACCCATTTATAGAATTTAGCTCAGCAGGGACTTGTGTGTCACCTGAGAGAAAACAAGTGATAGTAACCAGGGATTCATCTTATCTTACATTCTGTTCTAGTACAGGTAAGAGCGACACTGCACAGACTCTCCTCCAGTCTGGAGGCACAAGGAACAGCTACACCTGGTATCAGTGACTACTCAAAGCCAGACAGACTGCCTTCTCTCTCAAGGCCCAAACTTTGCATTGGTACTTACTGATCTGCATCCTCCGTGAGTTCCAACTACTAATAAACTGTTCACTTCAAGATAAAAAAAATGGCACTTTGCTGTAAATGACCATTAGTTTGTGCACATACTTTACCTGTACATCGTTGGTGTTCATTCTTGTTCCCTCCTTCCCAACGAAGATGTCATCTATGTCAACCAGAATGTACCTATCCAAGGACAGTCTGAGCTTCTTTCCAGACAGGAAAGAGATGGCATCTATGAAAATCAGCTTGTGCAGCCAAAAATTCAAGTTATTGCCGAAAAGGACTCGTTGAATCCCATCGTGGAGCCCCAGGTCATGAATTACTGTGGCATAGAGAGCACTTTTAGCAGCAGATGGTGAAAGGTTTTCTGGTGTCTTTACTTTTGCAAATATCACTGGTTGATAAGCAGTGTGATTAATCTGGAAAACCGCCCAGTCATTTCCAAGCAAGGGACCTTTCTCAAGCTTAGAAGATTTAGTCACATGGAGCAGTGGGGAATGAGGGTTAATGCAACAGTCCTTAATACCCAGATTGCTGTGGACATGGAAAGGAAAGCCCTTCAACTGAAAGCTCTGCAAGCTGTTCTCATTGCCTTTGTGAAATCCAATAACACCTACACCATATTCTATACAGTATTTATCTAGAAGGCCTCTGTTCCAAGAGTCCATATTCACATATTTTAAAATATTTTCATATACTATGAGAGCATATTTGCCTTTATTTTTGTCTATAAGCACTGGGAGGTCACCTTTCCCAGGTGCAATCTCAATGTGAAACTGAAATCTGCTAGATTCTAGAATGGTTATTATATCTTGTCCTAATGTTGAGTACTGACTTTCCACAAACACCAGCACTACAAGATCTGTCCTCAGGGGATCAAAAGGCTTCATGGTCTTCATCTCCATCAGCTTGTCTGGCAACAGTTGAAGATCACCACATTCCACTTCTGAAGAGATTTCAGAAAGTTCATTTTCCTGTTTGTAGCCATTATACAAGTAGTACGCAGAAATAACTATGCTCACCATACAAAAAGTGGCCAGCAAAATAACTGTTCTTTGAAAATGTCTGTGAAGTTTCACGATAAAACTCATGTTGTTTACTTGCCTTAGATTGTTCTTGACAGCAGCATTAAAAACAAACACAGATTCTCAATAACTTGTTCCAGTCCTCTGAAATACTTATGTCACCATTGCAGCACACACATCTATCTTCCACAAAGCTTTACAGAAGGTATAGTCTAGAAGAAAAGAAAATCAGAGATTTAATCGAGGCATCACACTTGGGAAGTATCATCACACTTACACTAATGGTGAGCAAAGAAATCACTGCCACACAGAGGTTTGGAAACAAACAGCTCAAAACTTCTATAGTTGCTTTTTGAAATTCTGCATTAGTAGTTTTATTTCTTCCTGGTCCCACTAGTTGCCACGCACATTTGAATGTCCCTAAATCTCACAGGCTCCTTACCCCAGAGGATCAAGCAAAAGATGGTACACACAGGAGGCACTGAAAAGCAAGGCACAGCAGCAAAGAACTTCCTGTTTTTCTGAAAAATTTTTACCCAAGTATAAAAGTTAACTCCAAATAGACAACTGCTGACAACCTAAACATTGAATAAAATTTATACCCTTCCTTCTTCCACCCCCAAGAAGCTGGGGAACATCAGTCTACATGATTAAATGAAATCTGTCTTATACTAACTTTTGAAGAACTGAGAAATTCTTAACAAAACGTGCACATTTTAACTCTGCTGTATACATACATACTGATATACTCTGTATTACAAGCATTATGGAGTATTTTTAAAACAAAACTACACTTTCCTCTGCAACATTAGAAGTAACTAAATGGTATTTTATTGGACTGTGTGCTGTTTTGCAAATTGTTGGAAGCACTTTGTATTTCTTTTTGTTAGAAAAAAGCATAAAATAATTCAGCTCTTAAATTTGCGAAAAGAGAGTAATAAATCAAAAGCTAACTTAAGAGGCAGATCACCTAACCATATACTTATGCTTTGACTTGTCCCTACGAAAAGCAGTCATTTTTCAAGCCAACAGTACAATTGCTGTCAAAAGTTTCTAGTAAAACAACTGAACGATGTGACAAGCATAAAATAATTAAGTACCTTTAAGTTATAACGGAAGGTTAACAGCAGATTTTGAAAAATACTAGCAGTATTAAGATCAGAATATGCTATTGTAACTTCACAATGTAGTACACATCCATTCCCATTTGTAAACGTGACCAGGATAAGCCAGGTGCATAATGTTAACATGGTCATTTCCCAACTGAGTGCTTAATCCTTCTGAGCTCAGTTTTTTTAAAAAAATAAAGTAGGGCTTAAAAAGTGAACAATGAGAAGGTCCAGAAGTATAAGCAATACCAAATACAAACTTTTCTACACAGATCGACAGTGAGAATTAAAATTTTCTTTAGAGATCATGACAACAAATGCTATCTACTCAGGCTCTAGCCCATGTTTTGCAACCTTATAAGGCTTACTGGGTTTTCCTTAGAAATTTTGATTCCTGGACTGGCTGACAACCTTCAGTACTGAATCAGGGAGCAGATGATTATAGAAGAAATACAGTGAACTTCTGATCCCAAAGAAATTTAAGATTAATTACATATTAATACAGGGGATAAAAGGAGAGGTTGTAACAAAACCACCACCACGCACACAACAAACAAAACCCAACAACATGTCATGTACTTGGGCCACTTAACCACTTGACAAGAGCTCCTCATCCTGCACTGTAAAGAGGGTGGTCTTTCACTCTAGGTTTTAAAAAAAGTTCAAAAATATGATGTACTTAACAGCACTCATGTAACTTCCACAACCTTAGTTACATCCTAAAGATTGATCCTCCCAGTGCCAGGTACACGATGAGCATGAAGTCAAAATAAATGAGTAGGAAAATGAGATAAGGGGAAAGAGACAAACTACATGGCATCCTATTTAACAAAACAGCAAAATTAAGCACCAAGAGTAAGTGTACATAAACTGCCTCATTCATAATTAAGATTCCCTTTCAACCTGCACCTCACAAGATAAGCATGCTTTCTAGATATATTCTACTCTCTTCACCTTCTAATCACAGATACCAGCATATTAACCCTTTCTGTTCTGGGTGGACTTACAGCCTTGAATATCATCTGCAGCTGCACAAAGACTTGCACATAGCTTTTGGACAGGCGAATTGGCTTTCACCCAGGCATATAGGCTCATTAATCCGCATTAGACAAAAATGACACCATCCCAGTTTCTAGAGGCATGTATCTAAAAAGAAGTTAAAGAACACATGAAGACTGAACAACAATCTGAAAGTACCTTTAGCAGAACTCAAAGAACATTTTTACACATTGAGATGTCCGATCCTTGTCAGGCTAGCTTCAAAAATATCAGTTTAGATAGTAGAAAAGAGATATTTAATATGGTAAGAAGGTGCTCCATCCTCAGTGAGTAAACCTAGAGAGATGCTTCCAGACAGATGACTTTTTAATCACACAAGCGCAAAGGGTTCTCTTCATTTTGCATTTCCAATTCAGCTGCCTAAATGCCAAAAAACTCACAATTCTAGTGGCTAAAATTAATACTTACTACATTCTGTAAAAAACCTGTGCATACGCCTACTTATCTTCAATAACCACAGACCTGGCTGGCTTACCTCACACAGAGCTCGGGCCTGGTTTACACAAGAGCTGGGAGCCTGCAAAGCAGAACTCTCCCTGACAGAAGTACAATGAATCACTTCTTTGAATGACATAAAGTCAACCAACAACCACAATGCTTGTCCAGTTCTTTTAGCCCTACGCTCCACTAACATGGCCCCAAAGTACCCCTATTCTTATGACAGAAACCCCCAAAGTCCTGTTGAGAGGAAGTTCCCAGCAGTGTGATTTCTTCACCAGCCTATGCTTCTGAGCAGTCACCTGAACCTGAGAATCCTGCCTGGAGCAGGAAAATTTTACAGCGACCTAAGCTCATGGCAAGAAAGCGCTGATTAGACAGAGCCATTTGAATGAGGTATTACAGAAGGGCTGCAACCCAAGGGCTGCTGAAGTGCACAGCAGGAACACTTGAAACATCTGCAGTGAGGACACAGTTCTAATGTTGTTTCATGGAGCAGAAAATCTGGAGCCAGCCCAGAAGCCTGTATTTTCTTCAAGAAAACCTCTGTCATTTTATCCTTAGCTCCTAACTGCAGGTACCTCCTGGGACTGCGGAGTGCAGCTGTAAGGAGGAGTGAATGGAAATGCCAAGACAGATGCAAGGTTTGACTCTGAGGAATGAGGAATTCTTCAAGACCCAGCAGGACACTGCCAGACTTGGCATTCTCACCACTGAGAAGACAGGAAGGAAGGGAAACGGAACAGAATAAAGTGCAAGATTTAAATGCATGTTCTCTTGAATCAGCTTGATGCTTACGTAATTTTCACTTATTTAAGGACTATTTTGCATGGCAAGAGTTCAAAGGAACACTGAAAGAATAAAACAAAAAAACCACAAAGGGAATAATATCAAAATAGTTTCAAAGCCTTCACAAAGTACAGTTGCTTTCCTAGAGGAACAGCAACATTTTACTCTGAGCAACAGTACTTGCAGACATTCCACTGGTATTTTACAGAACCATGCTAAAGTAAATCATTGGGTACCAAACTTGACAGTGGTGCAGAGATCTTCAGGGAGCATGACCCAGAACACGGTGTGGCACCTATCAAGGCCACTATAATGATCTTTATTACAGCTTTAGACATGGCTTCAGGGAAAATGGTCTTTGTTCGCTATCACTTCCAACAGTAAAACCAGACAGAGGCATAATTCAGAATGTATCAAGAGGGTAAGCCATTAGAAGCAGCATTTCAGAACAGGACAGTACTTATGGAGTCTTATTTTCGTGACGAAAGAACGCAATAGTATACAAAAGAATGAAAAAGTCACAACAGCTTGAACTGCAACATACACAAAAAAATCCAGGTATAAGAAAAAGCCTTAATGAAAAAAAAATAAGAATCAAAGTCTAGAAACTCTTCAAAAGAATTCAAGCTTGTTGGTATTGTTTCAGTGAAAAGTGATGAAAAAGTCCTGTAGCTAACATAAGCAGTCTTAGCTCACTGAATTCAATGGAGTCATGTGGAGTTCAGTGAAAGGAGGATATGGTCCCACCTACCCCTCAGATCATATGAAAAAGGTTGTCAGCCATTATACAAACTCAATGTTCCACAAAGGTGATGTTAAAATAAGCTTTACCTATAAAACAATTTGTATGGTATTTTTCCACTGTCTGAAGCAATAAAAGCTGCCTCATTGTTCTTTATCTAGAACCTTAGTATTTTAGAAGAGTCTGCATTTGAGCTCCTACAGAATTTTGCATTTTCATGCCACCATCTGAAAATTCAGACCAGAACCTCTTACCTGTGTTGTTCCAAGTATGAGGTATCAAAATGCCTTCTTAGCGTGAAAATTAGCATCTTTGAGCATTTAGAATTTTGCTTTTAACTTGTGGACTCACTATGGAAGAGAAGATCTTGCTAAAAGAAAGCTGAGCCATGGAAATAAGCTTTGCATTTTATTCCAAACACAGCAAGGCTGAATAGTATTCTCATCTATGGTAGAAGTGATTTCTGCAGCCCAGGGCTAGTTCACATGAAAATCTTGTGAGTACAGGAAATAAGCATCACCTTATTAACTGGAAGATTTACAATTCTAAGCAGTACTGCTGGGTAGTCACAACTGCAGGTATCTTCAGACAGCTAGCATGAAACAGATGCAGTGGAATAGACATCTTCAGCTGTGGGATCGTTTGGTTTTATTTGTTTTGTTTGGTTTTTTAATTCACTAACAAGGTAGTACGGATGAGAGAACAAATTCCCTGATGAACACCACAGAGCTGAACTGCACCATAAGGAGTCTGGTGAGTTCCTACCATTTGCAGCTTTCTTTAGTTTGTTGTTCACTGCTAAGCATAAATGACCAAACTCTTCGCTTCTATAAATCCTTTCAGCACAATAACCCTAATGGCAACATTTACATGAGACCAGCTGGGGACAGCCTACTAATAAGGTGCAGCAAGTGAACATAAAGAACATG